TAAAAAAGCCCCCGGCCACAGAGACTGGTGAAACGTTAGGAAGAAAAACCTTCAGAACATGGACAAAGAGCCTGAAAAACCCACAACAACCATCAGATCCTGGCCGTGAAAGTTTTTGAGAATACATTTTTAATTCGGTTTGCTAATGTGACAGGGACTAGACTCAATTATCCATGGGGTCCCTTCCAGATCTACAGTTCTAAGATTATTATCATATTATTTATATTATGGGGAAAGGACGTGATAGATAGTTTCTTTGCTAACCTAACACACATAGGTGGCTGAAGGCTAACCAAATCATCTTAAAGCAAGAGTTAATTTTTTACCACCACCATAATTTAGGAATGGAATAAAAAAAAGTCTCATTATAAGCCATGATATAGAAACTCAAGAACTATATGTGTTTCCAGGGACTGGAGTACAGTATGGGGTAATATTGATACAAAGTACAGAAACCTCTAAGTCAGTTTGTGAAATACATTGGCTGAAATCCTATACTGCCACTATATACATGGTTGCCAAAAAAGACCAGCTACATAATTAATAATGGGAATTACAAAATGCCTGTGTGAATTTAGATTTTTCTATATAATGTATATATTTTTGTATGGTAATTGGAATTATTCTTAGAAGAGATTATTTAGAATTATTATGGGAAAAATGCCGATTTGTAATGTGACCATTCAAATCCACCCCCTCTAAATGTATCCTTATCCCAGTTATCCGTTACCCTACCCTACCTCTATAAAGAGAAAAATAAATAATTTTAAAAAAAAAAAATCCTATTGAGTAGCTACGTACATGGGCATAACTTGACATGCCTGAGGTAGCTACAGCTATCCACAAAGCACTTCTGCCAGCACATTGCCCAACTGGTTGAAACAGTAACTACAAACCAGTTGCATGGCAGTCCTTCATGCCCAGCCCATTTATGATGATGTGATGTTACATTATGCCTCAAACAACAGGATTCCAGCCACTTACTTTGCTTAATGATATTAAATATTATCCTAGCAGTTACGTTAAAAAGTCAAATCCCCCTTTTCTCTGTTGTAGGCATGCTTGTGTCAAAGCATAACATGGGAAGAAAAAGCATTCCTGTTTATTAAACATACATGTTATAAAAGAAGCCAAAACTAAAATGCATATTTTTAATGAAAAGTTAGTTCATTTTGTAACTGATGGAGATAAATATGTTACTCATAAGGTGACTCTGTCTCTCTTAGTAATCTATAAAATGAAGGAGGAGCTTGTTTCACAAATTTTAATGAATTGTCTGGGAAATAATCAACACTAGACTATGGTGTGGTCATATTCTGCTCCAGAGCAAAGCAGAACGAACCCTCCGATTTATTCAGATCTGCCGCAGAATTTGATTTAGCCTTTTAGGGATTTTTTTAAAGCAAAGTTCAGTGGCAAATTTTAATAGCAATCCTAGTAACAAACAAAAACCCTGAAGCCAGCTGTCTGAAATTTGGCAAGTTTACTTCTCCCCTTCTAGGGTCTATCACATCTTCAAATTTCATGTACACTGGGAGGGGGAAAAAGTTATAGCTGCTTTAGTTTTCCAGTGCACGGAGTTTACAAACCAAATCACTCCAGACCAAAATCTCATACATTTCCAAGCCCCAAATTGAATTGAGGGGTCCATGCACAACCCTAGAGTATATGGCTAACCAGCATTTGAGAGAAAACATGTATGCTTGAATATATCTCTTACTAAAAGTAAGCCCTTGAATCGTAATGGTACACCTCTACAGGCCAATGATATTCTGCTGGGAATCTTCAATGCAAGTTTCACTTTTCTGGTTATGATCTCATACAGTCCTCAACAATATCTATTCTGAGGTACGGGGAGCAAGTTAGCAGAACGAAAAACATTTTGTTTCCTTGATACTGAAATCAGTTTGAACTCAAGATCAAATGTGGGCTATTTAGATTTTAAATCTGAAGCAGTGCCTGTCGTATTCTGTGAAGTATTCAGCAACTTTAGGTATCAAAGAAAAAGATATGATGAGGTGCAGCTAGCCTTAAAAATCTTTCTCTGGTCATAAAAGCATATATCGGGAGGAAAATTCAGGTTGGCTTTCACTTGGAAGAGTTGCTAACTAAAATTTATTCAGTTGAGTGTCAGCCACAGGTAAGATCAGGTAGAGCTGCAGATTTTGAGCATAAGCAAAACACAGACTCATCCTAGTTAGATTGTCTACCGGTTTAACAAACTTAAGGTTGCAATTTTAAATACATGAGAAAGAATTATATTAGTGATTTGCATGTAACTAAATGAAATCATGTAAGCTGCACTAGCAAACTCTCACTAATTATTGCGATGAGAGTCCAGCGCCTGGTTGTATGCCCATCATGTGACTGATTACAGGACCTGGAATGCGATCAGCACTTTCTCAATTAGTGCCAATCGGTGGAAGAATCATTTCCACTCTGAGGGCTTCCATGACTTACACAATGTCCCTCAACTATGCACAAATTGTCAATAGGATTCTGACTATGAGCAAAGCTAGGCCAACAGTTTAAAAATGAAAGGAAAGGATAAGACTCCTACACTTTAAATAATTCTGCAGAAAAGAGAAGTTGAGCAATTATAGTTAATACGGCCCCCTCCTTTATAGCCTTTAAGATAGAAGAGCTCCTAGCCTCTTAACTGCGATTTTCAAAGGAGTAGCCATGGCAGTCTGCGCAAGTTTACCCAGGCAAAAATTAAAATTAAAATAAACAAAAAAGACTCCAAATCTTGTGGCACCTTAGAGAAATAAAGATATCATCTCTTCTATTACATTGAATGTTTGGTTTTTAGTGGTCTAAATAAAAGTATCATATCTACATTTTTTTAGATTAAAGATGACTTATATTTCCGTGTGAGCTTTTGTAGATACATTCATTTCTTCGGTTAATCTTAAAGTATTACAAGGTTTGTTTTTCTGTTTGGACGGGGGGCACCTTAAGCAACCCCCACCAAACACACCTATATCCACGTCTAAACAAACCTACATAAGATCATGCTCCGTCACTACTTCTTATTTATAACTTAAGGCTTCTAGATGAATTTGGATAGGAATAAAAATATGAATTGTGAGGGGAAAAGATTTGATGATAGTTTACATGGAAAAACATGTGTAGGAAAAGCCACCTGCTCAAAAGTGCACACGCCTCCTTCTGGTAGGTGAGGAAAGGGGAAGGACACCTCTTTGAATAGGATGCCTTCTAAGATAGCTACCCCTGCGAGAGTCAGGGTGAAACCAGCTTCTCAATGGTCAGACACTAGGGGGCAGTATCAACATCCTCCATTGTTCATGCAACACCTTGGATATTCATTTGCCTGTCTTGAAAGACAGAACCATGTATAGCAATGGTCCCCAACCTTGAACCTCCAGATGTTCCAGGACTACAACTCCCAGAAGCCTTCACCACCACCTCTGCTGGCCAGGATTTCTGGGAGTTGAAGTCCAAGAACATCTGGAGGCCCAAGGTCGGGGACCACTGCTGTATACTACACACAGCATCCCTCAAAGTATCCTGTTCACTTTGAGTTGGGTGGTCAGACTGTTCCCATTCCTAGTGATGAAGTTAGGTTCAGTGGCCAGATCTTCTGTCTTTTGCACAGGGGTGTAATCTTGTCGTTTGCCTCAGGCATCACAATTGCTTGATATGGCCCTGCCTGCTGTCCATGGATTGGGGGCAGGTATCATTTATACCTTTTATCAGTGAGTCAGGGACCTGGCTTGCTGAGCCAGAGATTCACCTCCCCGCTGTGCTTCCCGGAGGAGAACCACAAGCAAGCTGCAGAATCCCTGGGCATCCCCAGGAATAGGGAAGGAGAAGCTACCTCTGAGTATTCCCTTACCTAGGGTCACCACAAATGGGAATTGACATGACAGATAATTATGATTTTCCCCCCCCCTCTCCTCAATTAACCAGAGAAGGCAGTAGCTACGTGGATGTCAATCCTGGAGGGCAGTTCCCATCAGACCCCCGTCAGCACGGGCCCCTTGTAAAACATCTGGAGGGTCTTAGGTTGTCTACACACACATCCAACCCTTCATTGCTCAGGCAGAAAGATCCTCTTATAAAAGGATCCCCTCTGTGTTACCACCTGCGGTTTCTCCAACAATAGTTATTGTATGGTTTCTATTAAGCCAGTAAGTCCCAAGTCTGAGTAGGCACAGTTTCAGGAGGCAGTCCTATTGCAGTAACTGCCTCCCCTAGACCCGGGGATGAGATGGGAGGATGTGACCCTCCAAATATTGGAGCACTACATCTCCCATCAGCCCCACCACTGGTGAAGGATCGTGACAGCTGCATCCAAAACATCTGGAAGAATGCACCTTTCCCATTCATGTGCTAGGCATTACAATATTTTTATTTATGCTATTTCAAATAGGTTCAAGTACAATTGTTTGCATGGTCATCCTTGACCGATGTTTTTCCCTGCAGGTAGATGGTCCTTGGTGGAAGGGGGAAGGATTCCCTAAGCTTCATATTAGCCTAACGAGAAACCAACTTTTGTGTAATCCACCCATCTGACTCAAAAGTTATTTTTGATATCCTTTTATCCCACCTTTCTTCCATCCTGGAACCCAAAGAAATGGACGTGAGATTCCCAAGCTGATCCACCACTCAGGTACTGTATTGTTCCCAGGCTGAATTAGCACGAGCAAGGTGACTGTACGCATCACGTATCATTATACATAGTCTACGTACAGATATGGCTGCCTTACCTGCACATGACTTCATGAGTGAGGAGAACTCTGCACATTTCTGGATTCTTGTTCTGTCCCTCGTAGGTGATGGGCTATAAAAGACATGCAGAGTTACTAGGAGCCGAATTAAAATTAGATTTCTAGAGAATAGTGACAATATATAATTCTATGTAATATCAATTGCTTAAAAAAATTTAAATGTCAAAATACAGACCTAGAAATAGCAAATTTTATAGATCCTCTTTTTCACACAGCAGGCCATCTTTGCACCAGTGTGCAAACACACACAGAGAGAAAAACTCACTAGAAATTATTTGGATATGAGAAAAACCAAACACAGATCTACTGGTTTCAGGTTTTGAACTAAGATCAAGGAGGAACTTAAGTAGGTGGGCAGATTACAGGGCATGAGCAAAAAACGGGGGAAGCAGCAAATGGGCCATATCTTACCTGTTTTGTTACTGAGTCAATAAGTCTGACAAAAAGATCCTGTTCAGTTCTGACACCTACAGGGAACATCAAAACAGCAGTAAGAGCAAGGTTTTAAAAAAAAAAACAAGCAAGCAGACTGTTACAAAGGACCTATTTCCTTGTCTATTGAACCAAGGATGCAAGCCCATGTTATCCTAATGGCTACTTTTCTTCCTAAGTAACTTTCCAGGGACTGCACACCAGAAGTATGGGGACTTGCCACCCAATCTTAAATGTGTTTGTTATCTTAATGTAGGATAGAGGCACAGACCAGAATCCTATTGGTGTTGGTGTGAGGGCTTGCACAAATTGCCACAGCTAATTTCAGCTAACTGATGGCGGGCCAGACATGTCTCAGCTGGGCAATGAGACATATGACCCAGATGCCTCCTAGCACCTCATCAGCTGGCTACAATTAGCCACAGCAAGTCACACAAACTTCATGCAAACACCAAAGGGATTCCGGCCCTCAGTGTTGCTGTGATGCATGAGATTTCCACATCCACCCATCTTGGGAAGATTCAACTGGACACGTAGCAGATGCATCCCTATAGCCATCATTCACGGTCCACAGCTTACACTGTTCTTGCCGCTACTAATACATGTTTATTTGTTGCATTTTCTCTAATGAGCTCAAGGAGGCATACAGTACGTGGCTCTTTATCAAGTCAAGAAAATGTGACTGGTCCAAAAGAATTCCATGGCTGAGTGGGGATTTGAATCCAGGTCCCCTAATTTAAATCTGCACCCATAGCTGGTGGTTCAAGTCTCTGGCTGGGAAGCCAGAGGTTGGGAGTTTGATTCCCCACTGTATCTCCTTGAGAGGGGCTGGACTTGATGATCCCTCCCAGCCCTGCAGTTCTAAGTTCTGATGCAACCTACAAATTGCTTCACCACATTAGCTTTCTTGCTATATCCTCTGTATAAAAGCACCCCACGCTCCGAAGACAAACTTCGTATTTGAAAAACAACAAAAATGACAGGCCTCTCTATTCCAGTGTTCTGTTTGCTTGGCAGCCAGACGAAGCTTATGGGGTCTCCATAAGCAGAATCTGACTGTAACAACACTCCATTTCCTTCATGCATTTTCCTTTTTCTTATTTTCTACATATTCTTATTCTATCTCACGCACATATACGCACCTACATACACATCTCTAATCAACCAAGCAGTAAGAGATCATAAGGAAGGGAGGTTTTGACTTGTGATTCACTTCCCACACATTCACCCAGACATGCTGCTAAATTGTTTTCCAAGTCAAAATGCTTTGGAGAGGAAGGAGATGGGTAAAACATGCAGGATGATGCTCAGGTACTTCCAAAGGATCATGTGGCCTGTACTTCCAGAGGGCTTCGGATCTTGCCTAACCCCTGCAAAGCAAAAGAAGCTCAGAAAGGCCCGACATAGCGATGGGAGGGGGAGTCAGGGATCGTATGCATAACAACAACAACAACAACAACAACAACAACAACAACAACAACAACAACAACAACAACAACAACAACAACAACAACAACAACAACATTATTCTCAGGAGAGGAAGCTAAGATCAGGCAAAGGCAGTGGTTTCCCAACCTTGGGGCCCCAGATGTTCTGTGACTAAAACACCCAGTAGCCCTTACCACTCGCTGTGCTGGCCAGGATTTCTGGGATTTGTAGTCCAAGAACATCTCTGGATCCAAGGCTGGGAACTACTGGGCCAAAGCATGGGACATGCTCAAGGGAATGGCTGGAAGTCAATCTTACAGGTTTCAAGGACCCGTTGCAGGCCATTGTCATCATCTTAGAACTGGAAGGGACCCTATGGATCATCCAGTCCAGCTTCTGTCAAGGAGGCACAGTGGGGAATCAAACTCCCAACCTCTGGCTCCATAGCCAGAGATCTAAACCCAAAGACCACCCAGGTCCCTGCCTGTTAGTTCCCTAACCCTGGCCTAGAAACATCTTTATTTGCTCCTCTGCAAAAATGTCAAGCTAGGAATAACGAGCAGCTTTAATCTGCTGTAGTTATCAAAAATTATCAAAGAGTCCTGTTGCACCTTAAAGACCAGCACATTTTGCATAGCCTGAGTATTCATTGATGGGTGCAGCCTTCTTCAACAGACGGATGCACTGTCCTCTCAGCGGTCACCTATTGATATAGTACATAGTAGGGTTCAGGGGCTACACACCATGCCCTTGAAGAAGGGAGCTTGCCTGTCTTCCAAGTTAACAAATGAAATGACTATCAAATTCTGTTGCCTTTTCATGTTAAAGAGGTTTAACAGGTTTTTGAAAACCTCCTACAAACCTTTCAGACCTTACTATTTGAAACAGAAAGAGAAGTGGGGGGGGGAGGGCAAAGGGAACCAGCATATATATTATGATGACCAAGCTGAGTTCAGCTTGGGGTTTTCTTTCTAGTAGGAATGTAATCAGATCTCGGGCTTTTCGGACCGTCTTGTGTGAGAACTCTCTAGTGGTTAGGTCACTCATTCACTGCAGCAGGGGGTGAGCGACTTACCATTGCTGTAAAGCAGCTGCAGTTTGTAGTGGGTACCATTATTGGTTTTTTCATTCCCTTGTTCCTGGGGTGGGGGGTGGGGAGAGGAGGAGAGAAATAGGTCAGAAAGATGGTTGTTCACATCACTCAGAATAAAACCAATTCAGTCAATTTTTCCAAACTGGGAACCATTAAATGTTTAGCAGCACAACCCTCCTGTCCGTGTTCATCCCAAATAAGTCCCAAGGAGTTCCATAAAATTTGTTCCAGTTAAATACGGGCATCAGGATTTCAATCTGGACTGGCAGCAAAATATCTTTCTTCCAAGGAATTAACTTTGCAAATATCCATTCCACTGTGTTCCATATGTTTCTGGGTAAAAGTTAACTGGATTGCACCACTCCCAAGTCATTCCTGGATACAGAGCCATCCAAAGGATCCCAAGAAGTTCAGAGAGGGCTTCCCTCCACCCCCAGGGAACTGGGAACAAGATGTCAACTACAAAAATGGGAAGGATGGCTTTTATCTTTGGAGAATTGGACAAAAGTGCCCAGTTTATGTTAAACCCACTCACTTCATAATGACACAAATGTAAGAGTGGATAATACCTTTTATCGGACCACTAAAAAATATATATTAAGCAGCCTTCTTCTAAATCATGTGTATGGAAGAGAGGATTTCAAGTCAATATCCTGAAGACTGGTTTTTAAAAGCTTTTTTTTCCCTTGGCTTAAGAATAGTTTAAAAACCATGGCTGGATGAGTGCAAAGTTTCCTTGATCCAGCATTCCCACCGGGAGCATCCAGATCCACCTAAAGCTGAGTGCAAGGTCTTGCTTTGACTCAGTAGAAACAACCCAGGGAGAGAAAACTCCTGTCTTGAAGTTATTTTAGTAATCTTGCCATGCTAGAGGACGAACTTTGGAGACGGTCATGAGGCTCGTCTCAGAGAGAAAAGGTAAAGCGATTTCCAACCACCCACCCTAGTCTTTTACTCTGAAATAGCCAGAGAAAGATGCAGAGAATGGAATCGGACAGAAGAAACAGGGAAGGAAGGAGGACTCAAAAGTGAATCGGACCAGATAAGAGTTCCTCCCAGGAATAAAATAGCCCATTTTTAAAGGGGGAAAAGTTGGTTTTCGAAAACAAAAACACGCAGACAAATAAATAAAACTTCAGGTGTTACATCCCTCCCTCTCAAACTTTCTTTCCTGGTTTTACTTTAAATGCAGACTTCCATTTCTGTTGCGCGCCTCCACACACTTTTCGTATCTTAGTCTGTAAAAGCATCAGCTCCGTGTGGAATCTGGAATTTATTTTGTACAGCAAGGCGGCTATCGCTGCTTCTGCTTATGTTGATATTTGATTCTTCACCACGTCACCCTCCACCCCACCCCACCCCCGACACCGACACTCAGACGAGCAGAAACTAACCAGAAGCCTCAACTTCGCCAAAGCAAAGCACTTCCAAAACCCTCCCTGAAGCTTCGTAAAAACGGCCACGGAAAAGCGAGCCGCGTGGAACCCCTCGCGAGTAGGCAGCTTAGTCTGTTTCAGGATCGTGGGCTGAGGAAACCCTTCGGGAGGCTGAAACTGACGCGAGAAACTTCCGAAGGCGAGTGAAATTGACCAGCATGTCTTCCTAGAAAAAGGCTGGGAAGTTCTCCTGCCTTAATGAACTAGATAATTAACAGCTGCCTTTATAGAAGCTCCGGCTCGCCGCAATCAGGGTTGGATCCGGATCAGGTGCTGGCGGGACCCGAGATGCCTCGAGCCTTTTGGACTCCAATGGGGAACGGAGACATTAATTATTTCCTGGAAAGGGCAGGTCCCTGGCTACGAACTGTGCCGTGATTTATTTTTTTTTAAAGGGAGATCCGGGGAAAGTCCGTACGCTTGTGTTTACTCTTCCACAAACCCCAATTCCTAGACATTTCTCTCTCTTTTTTTAAAATGTTTTCTTGGAACTTTCAAGTCATCCGGGAAGTGTTTGAAAAAAAATCCACTTCCAAGAGACTGCGCGAAGGATCGCGGTGCGCCAGAGAGAAAAAGGAGGCGCAAAAAAGGAAAGGACCAAATCAGGGGGGAAAGAAACTACAGGCGTGGGAAGGATCCGTCCCGCCGAAAGCCTTACTTTGTCGTTCTCCACGAAGTCCACGAACGCCGTCCGCTCGATTTCCACTGGCTGCCCTTGTCGGTCGTACAGCGCCAGGACGAAGTGGAAAAAATTAGACTTCCGCAAGTTCGACGGCGGTTGTTTCTCGAAGTGGGCTCGGGACAAAGCCACGCCGCTGCGGGAGGAAAAGGAGAAAGCAAAAGGGACGTGGGGAGAGAGAAATGAATAAAAGTGCGAAAGCGGAAATTAGCAGCAGCTGCGATCCTAGGTGGCCCTAGTTAAGGGGAATAGAATCCCCTTCTAAACAGTGTGTTTCCGTGTGGGTAGGGTTGCGCCCACAGACTGCAATCCTAAACAGGCTTAGTGGGAGGAAACAGCACTCAGGGCAGTGAGACTAAGACGCTGGTGGGCACTTACCTCCGAGCAAACCCCACCCGACCTGTTTCCAGATCAGCATGCACAGGATCTGGCGCAAATTGAAGTAGATAGGATTGGGTTGTCGGAGCCCGGAGAGCAACTCCCGCTGCTCGCTCACACAGGCATGCAACCACACAGAAAGTGTTCCGGCACCTTCCAAACGAAAGAATTAATCAAGCACCCCTTTAAGCTTCCTTAGAAGTAATCCCATTGTGTTCTGCGTGCTTACTCCCCGGTAGGAGCGCGGGGGTTGGGAGCCTCCCTCCAGCCCAAGACGGGTGGCCCCCCCTCCTCCTCCTCCAGGTGGAGGGAGCTTTTCCTCGTTAATCGCCGGAGAGACAAAATGACAACACAGGAGAGTGTGCCGATTATATTTCACGGTTCTTTAGTTCCACCGTTTAGAATCTATTTGCCAGCTGAGAAAAAGACTATATAGGCATCTCTCCCCAACTTCTGCCAGAACAGATCTTTTACTGTGTCTTTAAGGTATTAAAGAGTCGTCGTTTCCCCCCCCTCCTTTTTTTAAAAAATGGTCACAGCAGGGTCGATCAGCCCTTGAAAGAGCTTGAGAAGTGCGCAGGTGAAAAGCGAGGCTCAGGATCAGAAAACCCAACACCGCGGGAAAGAAGGTCGAGAAAACGAGTCACCTGCGACAATCCTTTTTATTATTGTTATTATTATTTTATTTATTAATATTATGTGAATCTCGCTGGGAGGCAGCCTCCAAGTATCTTACTCCCGGGTCAGAAAAATCAAAGTCTTTGGTCTCGATGGGCGGGATAGGATGCCAAGAAATAAATAAATAAAAAGCCGTTGTCCCTCGCTCAAAATTTTATATTGTGAAAAGCACAATGACAGGCACGTGTTTAATCACACGGAATCACCAGACCTGCCACCGGACGGATCAACTTATCAGGTGCGAAGCTTCAGTCCCCTCACTGGGAATTACTTCTCGGGAGGTATTTTGTAAGCTGGACGCTTTGCAAACCCTTGAACGACGCTCCCCAAACCTGCGATAATACCAACCGGGCCGTCGACTCCCGCTGTCTAAAGCCAGGGCCGGCCCCAATATTTGGTTTGACCTTGATTTTTCGCGACTTTGTCCAGGAGAAGCTTTGCTCTATACGATTCCTTTTCCGGCTGTCTTGTTTCGGGAACACTTGGAAAGTTTTTACTCGGCGGTTCCTTTTGTTTCAGATCCTGCTCATTTATCACCCTTAAGAATACAGGCGGAATTTGGGACCGGGCGGGGGGATAAAACATGGAAGGACGGGCGACACAGGCAAAGAGAAGCCGGCGGAGCCAGAGTCGGTCCCTTCCAATCTTTAGAAGTTATGACCCCATCTCCCGGCTGTTCGATTTATTTGGGAGTAAGGCCCCTTACAATGAGTGGAAAATACTTCCGAGTAAAACGACAGAAGAATTGACTTTAAAAACACATAAGGACGGCCTGGGGGTCCCGTCGATCTTTGAACTACAGATCCAGCCTTCTGCCTGAGAGTCATCGGTCTCTCCCTTCTAAGGTCACCAAATTTCTGCCGCTTGACGAGTGAAAAAAAGGGGGGGAGCCGAGTATCTTTCTTCCCTCCCCCCAGCATCAGCACTTCTCAGCCCAGGAAGACCCAGTTTTTCCCGACGATCGATGAGAGGGTTTCCCTCACTCTCTTGCAAGGGGCTACCACCGCTCCGCAACAGTCATTTTGCGGGGAAAGTACAGGGCACTGAATTGGAAAGGTCACTGATGTTTTCCCCCTTAGGGTGGGGAAAATAAAACCTCTTAAAGCAACTCCCCGCTTACACCCGGAGCATGAAGCGCATCCATCGCGCGATTTGCAATTTAAATAATTGAAACGGAGCCCCTCCCGCTGCTCCGGTTGCTGAAAAAGTTCCGGGATTTGAAGAGTAATTCCGGAGAGGAAGGGGAGGGCGAGGTTTGGATGGCGATTTAGGATGGGGAACGGACGCGCTTCGCCTGCCTCCTTGCCTTTGGACAGCTGGCTGATGGAAACGCCCTTGAAATCAATTAATCTCCCGAGCGGAGAAATTGACTTCTTCCCAAGCGCCGCTGTTTAAGATCCGTGTTTCACTGGCAAACTGCAGTACCTTAACAATAAACGCGCGGTGGTAGGTGACACGAAGGCCTGCTCCTATACAGACAGGTGGAAGTCACTCCGCTTTCGCACCCGTTTCCGACCTTCCCAAAAATAAAATAAAACCAGTGCTTTAAAAGTCGGCTTCTATTCTTGTTTGTTCAGATGCAAACAAACAAGGAGCGCTTACTTAAAAGTTCACTTTATATACGATCGCGGCCTTGTTTTTTTCTCTTCGATTACTTTCCTGCTTCTTGCGCCGATCCTATGCTTTAAAATCAGGGATTAAAACCGGCCCAGCCATGCCGGTCGTTCGCACTGCCCCGTCTAAGGCGTGTTTACTCCGAAGCAAACGCCACTGATCCCAGTGATAAATGTCTACTCAGAAGTCAATCCCATGGAATCCTATGGGGTTCACTCCCAGATTAAGCAGACATGGGATTGCAGCCTTCCGACATTAGGTGGACTTGTAGTCTCTCGAGTTTAAAATAAGTTTAGAATTCTTATCTAGGAGAGGGCACAAACCTAAAATAAGAGCATGTACTTGGAGATAAACCCCAATTGATTAAGTGGTAAACGTCTAAGCAAACAGTCGTTAAATCGGATTTAAAACTACAGTCCTGTCCTAAACGTAGTTTACTCGGAACTTGTTTCCCACTGAAATCAGTCGCATTTGTTTCCTGGTACAGTTGGACTAGGTTGCATCCCGGAATATTTTAAGCAGAGAAGTGACTATAGGATTGGAGTAGAGTACTTGCTGAAAGAAAAGCCACAACTTTCCTTTCGTATTTCAGATGGATTGATTCCGGATAATTCCGGTTCAAATTCTTTCCTGGGAATTGATCCCATCCCGGAGAAAGTGTGGGGCTCTGTCCTACAATTTCACACCCAGTTCGAGGTGGCTTTACTTCTGAAACTGGAACCCCCCCCAAAAAAAACCCACAAACCCACCCATAGATTACATAGTGACTTGGAGGTGTGTATTTCTGTTTGAAAAGTTCCAAAAGTGAGATCTGAATTTAGATGCATCTGTACAACCCGATCACTGCATGGGACCCTTGATTTCCTCAAGAGAGTTTTAGCCTGTTTGTTTTTACACCTCCGGGTGGGAAAGAAAACCTGTTAGAACAATCAGGGGAGGGGGGAGTTTGGCCCCGCGAAAGCCGATCTTCCTCCTTCCCAGGACAGCAAACAAGAGGGATGTTTATTTTTCCCTCGCTTGGAAGACGGAGCTGGTTTCTGGAGTTCCAATTCTGCCGGTAGCCCAAACGCAAACTTTCCCGGACCCCAACGAGGACTCCGCAGTTTCCGACGCATCCGACGGGCAGTGGGTTTAAAGGGGGGGGTGTAAAAGTGTGAGATTCTGCAAGCCGAAGCGGACGCACGTCTGTCACCAAGGTCAAGCCGGCCGAAGCCGGAGGAGCTGACACCCGGGAAAGGCGGCGTTCAGACGGCGGCGTTGGAAAAGATCCTTCGCCACGGGTGTGCGGGTACGCTTTCCAGCGGGCCGCCAGCTTCGCAAAATGGGTCCATTTCGGCGCAAAGGCACGGCCATTTGGAAAGGAGAGGAAAGCGCCCGCTTGGATTCTCGAGTCCTAAACTTCCCCCTTATCTAAGATGTATTGATCATTGATATCACTGGGACTTATTTCCACCTAAATGTTTCCGAGAATTGGGCGGCGTTAAGCGTGTCTTTCTGCCGGCCGGTTGGAAAGTGCATCTAAACCGCTGACGCCTGCTTCTGGATGCCGCACAAGGAAGGGCTCGACGGGGGCGATTTTCGCCATAAAGAGCAGAGCCGCCGGGCGCCTTCACGTCTCCGATCCGCGAACGTTTTCACCAGGAAAGCCTCCCTGAGTTCATCGAGGGATCTAGGACTTCCGCGGTGACCGAGCAAGCCGGACGCGGGAGGGTTTACTCGCGGGTCGCTGACTCTCTTCTTCGGAAGCGTCCAGCGGTGAAAAAAAAAAGTCTCATAAGCTTGGCTCCCCCCGGGTCCGCTTCGAATCCCGGTGGCCCAGAAGCGAGGTTCAGACCAGATCCACCTCTTTGGACGCCTACTATTTCTTGACAACCCCAAACTGACTTCTGGAGAACCTGTTCCTTGGAGTGAAAAAGCCTTGAACCCCGTTCCTTAAATCACGGGGATGCGCGTCCCGTTGAATTCAATGGGTCTTCTCTCCCCCCCCCCCCCGAAAACTGGAGATTATTTTTTAAAAAAACCGCAGGAAGCTGAGCGATTTCACGGGTTCTGGTTCCGATACTTTCAGCGGACTTTACTTTCAAAGAACCGCAGATCGTCGCCCGACCCTCAACCGCGGTCAAAAGTCTCCAGGAGGTGCAACTCCATGGATCTAAAGATATATATGTATATTTTTGCTCCCTGATATATCCTGCCGGCCGGGCAGCTGAATCTTAAGCCTGTTTTCTCAGAAGTAAATCTCACGGATTTCACTCAGACTGAGGCAGTCAGAGGTGACTTTCCCTTTAAAAAGGCAGCCCTGATCTGGCCGCTTTAACCGTCGTCACTTCGCCTCAGCTGCGTTATGGATCGCTCTTGCGATCAAACGACCAAACCACCTCTATAACTAGGAGTGAAGTGAGGTGAACCGGCGCTTTCCTACACGCATCCTACTTGCAAGTCACTTCTTTGGCTCTGAAGTATAGATCGAGATCGAAACCGCTCCTTTAATCGTTTTAAAAAAGCGAATAAAGGAGTTTTAGGTTAAGAGAGCTTAAAAGGAAGACCGTCTGGATATTCTTTAGACGTCTTTCTCCCGTTCCGAAGATATTCACAGTGGAAGACTCTCCATATTCCGGAGCTTGTCTACTCGGAAGTAAGTTTGGCTGGATTCCAGGAAGCTTATTCCCCCTGTAAACAACTATAATTGTTTTCCTAAAAGGGGAGGGGGGGAGAGAGATGTGAACTGCAGAGGGAACAACTAAAGTCCCTAAGAATCTTCGTCCTTTCCGCCGCAAAGGGTCCCCCCCCCCGGCGGCCTATGAAAACCAGCGGCTAAACAGAGCGATTCAAGATGGTTACAGAGAGATCGGTAAGGCTGACTCACGAGGAAGCTTGTAGTCTAAGGCTGTTGTCATGAATTCTCAACAGGACTTAGTTGTGAGTGGATGTGACTAGGTTTTCATTGTTAAGAGCAGCAAAACCCAGCCACACCGAGTTCTAGCCCCAAAACACACGCGCGCGCACACACACACACATACACACGCACAAACACAAAGTTCGACTTTGTTGTTTGAAGGCAACGACCCCTAGCAGCTTCTTCTTCCCAAGTGCCCTCATTTATTATGATTATCTGCAGTAAATAAGTAAATAACCCGGGATCTGGTGGATCTCAGCTCGACTGTCAAGTGGATGCGTTGGGGGGGGTGTCACTCTGACACTCTGGATCAGGCGCAGAGTGTCCGAAAGAGGGGGCGGAGAAAGGAAGCAAAGATATTGAGACTGAGAACAATCGGAAATTACCTTTGAGCGGCTACGTTGGCATCCACCACGCCAACATTCCTGACCCAGGACCGGACCGGATCCATCTCGGAGCCCAGCACCTTGTCTTTCAGGATGGGTCCTCTTCCTAGTGTATCTTGGATCCCAAACATTGGAAAAGTTGATTATTCCTCAAAAAAAACCACGAGGCTTCCTTGGCGTGCAGAGGAAATTGGGGGAGAGGGATTTAAAAAAACAAACAAACAGGGACACGCACAAATCCCGAGGAAGTTCAAAACGCCGCCTCTGGAAGGACCAGCTGGATTTCTGCTCCAGACAATAATGATGCTCTTCAAACGATCGGCTGAACCGGGGAGACGGCTCGCTTTCTCTTCCAGCCAGCTCTCGATTCTCGCCGGTCGAAGTCGTCGGGCGCTGCTCAGCCTCTTCCGAGGCTAGAGATCATTTTTCTAGGAGCCGGTGCCGGAGAGCAAATCCCATCTCCTTGCTCCGTTCAGGCTTCCAGATCACCTGCTTGGCAGAGACACGAGGGCAGCAGC